GTCCGCCGATCGATTTTCTCCTGGAGATTCCTTTTGGCTTTGATTTGTTAACTGGAGTTGGTTTCATGTACTTCTTTTATGGAGTAACTAGATCACTTTGGATACTGTGTCGTTGAGCTTGGCAATTTGTGATTCGTCAAACTCGATTTTTGACGAATGTTGGTGAATAATAATAACACTCTGTTAGGTTGATGCATATGAAACTTTGTTTCGTTTAAGTTTGACTTTGATGGATTTGTGGAAATATATTTTGTTTTAATGTCAATTATCAAATATATTAAAGAAGAAGATATTTGATATAGATTAAGTGTATTTAGTGTTAAGAAGATTTGTAATAAAAAGTCGTAACCTCGTTATTGGTCAGCATAAATGATCAGAATGTTCGTGTTATTCTTTCATGTGAGTTTTCATTTAGAAATAAATCTATTTTCAGATTTATAATAAGATTTTTAATGAAACGTCAGTCGTTGAAAAAGTATACTGAACAAAGCACGTGGAAATTATTTTCAACACATTTTTTCTATTAAACTATTTCAATTAAAAAGGCAGTACTTCATATGCACAAGCCTAAGAGTTTCCTCGTTCGTTCGATCACTTATTTTTCTACTTGTATTAAATCTATGTGTTTAATATTTTAAGTAGAATCTTCACGTAATGTAGCATTTCCGGTTTCTTCCAAGCTTTTTATTATACACTGCGTTACTAATCGCGAGGCATTATTATGAATGATTAGTGACTTCAGTATTATAAGCAAAGCACTATATCTATTATTACACTTGATCATTCATATGTATATGTACGTTCACTTCAAGGAAAAAAGATATTTTTGCTCTTTTCTTTTCTGACTAATATCACCTTTTAAGAGAACGGCACCTATTCAAACACAATTTTTACAAAATTTTCGTTGAAAAGCGACTTATTTATATTCTCTAAATATTTTCTCCAACTAGTTTGACCGAGTTACCACAACATTGTCGATAAATTTGATGGAATGATTAAGAGAAAATCGATTGGCAAGCGCACAGCAATATCGTCGTGGTACAAGAAGTTTTTAAGTTTGAAAGAGCGAGAAGACGAGAGGAAAGAGTGAGAATGAAAAGCACGAGCGGCGTTTCAGAAAGCTATACACGTACATACACAAAGACACAAGTACACATACACAGGTACATATTACATAGACGCAATTATTCCATGGTATCGACACATTTAATCCTACCGTTGGAACGTGAACTTACCTTCGAGGTTTCTACCCCGTATTAACGCTACATTTCCTTTGAGCAATTTTTTAATCGTGTTAATCGATATACACACTCATCTACACACATACACAGATACACAAATTACTATGTATTCCCCTCTTGAAACGATGCTTTTTTGTTTTGCACGTGGAAAGTTCTCTTTCGTTACTCGGTAACATCGTGAGGAAGAATAAAAGAAACGAACAGCGAGGGGAATTAAAGAAGAATTAAAAGAAATAAAATGAAAGTACAAGATAACAGGCAGAAGATCGATGTTCATAAAGTAAGACGAAAAATAATGTTTAAAGATACACAAAAATAATTAAAGGAGAAATTACAATGTGCAGCTCGTGGAGAGAGAGAGAGAGAGAAAGTTTCTTAAATTTTCGGAGTCCTTCGCGTCACGATAAATACACGTAGCTAAGTTCAAAATTAAGATTAATATCGACTGAGAGCACCTTCTTTTTTTATTGCTTATAAGCGACGTTTAAAAAATAAGATTATACGAGGAAATTAGAAGAAAGCAGCGGGGGATGATAAAAATTGCGTTAAATAAAAAAGGGAAACATAGTGTTGCGATCTTCGGGAGATATACGTGTTTAAGTTAAATAAAAGCAAGGGCATTGTCGGAGGCGAATTAGAAAATGGCTGGACGACCCATGACGAACAATTAGATATTTCGGGAGTAATAAAAGAAATACAAAAGATAATTAAATAATTAAAATACAATTCTGAGTGCCACCTACGAAGTAAAACTGCAATGTCCTTTATACAGACAACCAAAAAAAAAATAAATTAATAAATAAATAAATAAACGATTAGAGAGAAAAAATACACACGAGGCAAGTGAAAAAGAAAACGGGAAAATTAATACGGAGAGAATTTAGATAATGACTAATATTCTTACTATTATTATTATGATTATTATTACGGTTATTATTATTATTGTTATATTATTATTATATTATAATTATATTATTGATATTATTGCCATAAACGTAGGGATGAAAACGCAAGTGCGACGGGGGAAGAGGCGAGGAAAATATAGTAAAATATACCGACAGGTATAAAAATGGTAAAACGACTAAAAGGAAAAAAGAGAGAAAAGAAAATGACAAAAAAAGTCTAATGAATGAACAATTGCCTGCGCAATAACGGTATATAAATTATATATATATACCTACATGTTATACATACAAGTGCGTGTGTACGTATATACACTGAGCAACTATGCGTGCGTCTATGTCTATGCGTATACACGTTGTAAAAAAATTTTTTACAAGATATCTCGAATTAATTAATGCTCGTAAGCGTACGTTGGTTTCTCTTCCTCTCTTTTCGTTCTCGACCTCCCGAGTTTACTTTTTTCACCCCCTCCGGCGATTTATCACGCAGTGATAAGGGTGAAAAGCGATGATCGATGATCCCCGATCATCCCCGTATAAATCGTTTTCCACGCTGATCGAACTCTGATCACGATTTTCTTCGATGTTATGTTGTTAACGAAGGTGTTATGGTTCGATTATCGATTGGTATGACCGTTGACAATAACTGGAAACTGATCTCGAATTATTTAACAGTCTGACGAAAAAAATGAGTAATAAATTATATTTTTCCAGTCAGAATAAAGCATCGATCTAAAAAAAAAAAACCGAAACATAGATGATCAAATTACATATCACTTCGAGTGAATATATTAAATATTGAATTTAATTCAAAGCAATATTTGAATTAATTATCGAGAAACAAAAGGAAACGCCATTGAAATTAAATGAAAGTAACTAAATTTGAAAATCGAAATTTTCAAAAGAAAGTACGCATATATTAAAATTGTAAGGAATGAATGTGAAAGAAAGAATGGATTGCGTGAGGTAAATTCCGAATGCGATTATGGGAAAGGGGAGGCTCGATCGAGGATCATCGATCACAGATCTATTCGTTCTTTGCTCAGTATTTTAGGCTGTAAATGATACCGATACATTCGATGTAACGATTAAATGACTCGTAGTTACTTTGTAACGAGAGGAGCAGCGACGCAGCGCTAATGAGAAGCAGCTTTTTAATTACAAATAGCGATTATCTTTGATTATTATTACTACCAGTAGTACACGCAGCACACGTGGATTTTCGCACTTAGGTACACGGCGAAACGATACGGATTTATTGTTCTTTAAAAAGAAAATGCAAAAAAAAAAAGAGAGAGAGAAGCAACAGATGTTCGACAAATGGTCCAGAAAGAGGGCAACAGTGATCACTTCAGGAGGAAAAAAACAACAGTTCTCGTTCGTTTCTTTTCTAATCAACATGTTTATACGAATTAATATACACAGATTTATTATAAAAATCCTATTTTTTGAAAAAGTATGGATATAATTGAATGTTTTCAATTCTAAGAACGATCATTGATTATTTTTCAAGTATCACCGAATTTTTGCTATTTTGTCACACTAGATGGGAATTTTTCTGTTTAATTTTAAACGATTTCATTCGATCGAGTGATGGACGAAGAACGACGCTTAACAAAAATTTATCCAAGTGTGTTGAACGATGAATGCACAACGATAAGTAGAATTTTATTTCTAAGGATAACCAGCCTGTCAAACGTCGAAAGTGTCTACAAGAAAAAAATGCCTGTTCATTTTCAAATCGTTGATCAATGTATCTGTCCAAGAATGAAGAGAAAACAGTAAAAATTCTCTTATGTTTCTTAGATCCGATTTTTCTTTACCAGCCGTTTATAAAAGATGCGATCGTCGACGAAATTGATGTCGCTGAAAGAGTCGGATACCAAAAAAAAAAAAAAAAGAAAAAAGAAACGTCCATTGCATCATCTTAAAGAATATTCCGCGAAGATTTCGTTCAAATCGCCAGAATTCACTCCATACCCTTTCGAACATCGAATTTTTGCGAAGATTTTTTAGAAATATCACGAGTGAATAGCAATAATTAAAATATTTCGACGATGAAATATATAAGAGACTCGTGCTGTATATCTTTCGAAGAAATTTTTTAATTATAACGATACAACGGTGAGAAAAATCATTCGTTTTTCTGATTGCAAGATGTCAACGCGTAACTTCGCCAGCAACTCAAACTCGTTTTCTACATTTTAGGATAACGAGAGTAAGTCGTGATATTTGGAAAAATACGGTTGTATTTGTTTAGAAAACGATCGACTCAATGATGCAAAACGCGATGATTCCCAATAGAGATCCGCTCTTTTTTTTCTGACCGCAAGAATATCAAAACCGAGAGAAGCAACAGAAGAAGAATAGGGACGATACTTGCAGCAGTGTTTCATCTTTCTTCTGGCAAATTTCCAACGCAAGCTTTTGCTTTGTACTTTTTAATTCAAGCCTTTTGAGAAGAAGCTTCCAAAGTCGAAATAAATTAATAAAAAAGGCACGAAAGTTTGCGTTAGAAATTTTACGAGGAATTATCAAACCTATCCAAGCTTGACTTGAAACTTCCCCAAATTTCAATTCGAATTGAAATTCTTCAAATTCCTTAAAATGTACCATGGGATTAAACAAGTTGCACGATGTTGATCCGAGATTAAAATTCGGACGACGTCGCGTTCGTTTCTCTTTGAGACCATCGTAATTCCCTTCACAGACGTTTGAACTTATCGTCACTTCGTCCTTCGTCAAACCTGTTTCCTTCAGACTGAGAACGATTTTTATCGAAGGATAGGAATTTTTGGACCGGCAGTCGTCGCACGAACGTCTTCGAGTTTCTCGATTGAAAACATTGAACATTTCCGTGACGACCATTAAATGCAGCTGAGTAAGACTCGATGCAGACGAATGAATTTTGTGTCGCAGTACACTGCATTATATGGAGAAACATACGTGTATTTTATTATATATCATATCGCGAATTTTATTACATATAATTCACTTAGAGATCCTGATTATCATCCCCCGACGTTATTTATTTATTTGTTAACACTTTGACTCTCCCTTTGACTATAAAATATTATACTACTTCGTCGTAACCACATTTATCTTCTAATTTTTCATAATACTCCAAAAAGAAGAGTAATAACAATTCGATAATAATTTGCTGTTAGTCGTATCTCTATAGTATTGCATAGTCGGATTTTTCTCCTAACTTCTAGTACTTCTAATTTCTAGTTTCTAATAAAAAAAACGCTACAACACACGCTTACGCGACAAATAACAAGTTTTACAAGATCGCAAGACAAACTACGTATGCCTGCATCGAATCTTATGAAACCAACACACGCATATTATACACATAAGGACACGTACACAGAAAATCATCGATAATTATAATTCCATACGTGCGTATTATAAAAGTATGTTCGTTTTTTATCGAAGCTGCCTCTCGCTTTTGAATTCTACCGCGGCCGTACCGAGACAGGGAGAGAGAAAATAAATTGGGGGAGGGACGAAAGAGTCGAAACGTTCAGAGGGTCGTTGTTCGAGGTAGATTTCGTGCCAGGACCGAGTTCCAGTTTGTCACGACGTCAGGCTGTGTAACGAGATTCCGTCAGGAGTGTTTCTCGACTCGAAAACGAATTGATTGATTCAATTGATTTAATCTTCTCGAGGGAAATTTTAGAGGTAGGTTACTCGAGGGTTGATTCTACTTATCGAGAGGATTTTTAAATAATGTTGGAGACTCGAGAGCGATTGTAAAGGTTGTTGAAAGTATTTAATAGGTAAATGTGAAATTTAATTTTAATTTCGTGTGCAACGATACGATTTTTATGATTCATTTGTACACTTAAATATGGAAATCGACGTAATTTATATACTTTAAAGATTCAAAGGACGATATTTAGGAACATGTAGCTGAATTCACGAAAAATTCTCTTAATTTGTCGCGTGAAATGAAATTTCACTCTTAACGCAGGTCACGCGATTTAATATTATTCTTTGATTCCATTTCTGGAGGAACATTACGCATTCCTAAATATCAAAATGTTACGTTTATGTGGGTCCCTTATAGTTTTCTGTAACAGGAAAATTACAAAGAAATATTCGTGACAAATAATTGGGGAATGTAAGACTACGACGTCAGAAATTGGCAATAATTCGTTAAACTATCCGTGCCAGGTTCGCAATAATTTAGTGATAAGTGTTCTCGATGGAACGTCAAATGTGATAGTACCGAAAAAGATTCTCTAGAACCTCCCGAGTAATTTGCAGTTTTATTGCGACAATTAAAAGATAAATCGATGAAAATGATCTCGAGAAGATAATTCGAGGAACACTCGTCGCGAATGCGTCATTCGTTTGTAAAGTGGATAAGAGAATCTTAAACGAGAGATAAAGTTAAGAGCAAGAGGAATGAAATTCGAAGAAAAACAAAAAGAAAGAGAAGAAAATAAGCGTGAGAGCGAGAGAGGGACGAAACGAAATCCTACATCCGCGGTAGATGAATTTACTCGCGTTTTTTCCCAGATTATGCAACTTAAGATTGTTCTGTATATATATACATATATACATACATATGACATAATCTTGGATCGTATCGATTATAACAGTGAGCGCACTGATTTGTAAACACGTAACAAAGAGAGAAAAAGGATTTGTTCGTGTGGAAAGGTGAGAAAGCGCGTGCGAATGAGACAGAGAGAATGTTAAGTGCGAATGAAATATGATGAAAGTGGGGAAAAAAACGAAAAAGAGTGTATGAGAGTGAGAAAGAAACGTGTGAGAGAGAAGACACAAGATTTTTGTACCACCCCCGTAAATCAATTCCTGCTCTTCACCGAGCACCCTCCGATTAAAATAAAATTACACGAGTGTCTTTATTCTTACCCCTCATCGACAAAGATTTCATGAATACAAAAATATATGGAGAATTATGGAGAGCAATCGCTTGAAAGAAAATATCGCCTCGAATTTTTTACAGCGTAGCTCAATAAAAATGTTCGCATTCAACAAAGTGTCTTGTCTATTTCATTCTACTTCTGAAAGAAGATATTCTGACGTTCTTTTGCTCTTTTTGATTTAGTCTCCTTTGGTTTCATTGTTTTTCTATAATTAATTTTCGTCGTCCGAAAGATTATTGGACGAAGATATCTCAAAATATTTTTCACGTTGGATGAAGACGAAGAAATACGATAAATCGAGTAAACATAAAATAGGAAATTTTGTATATTTCGAGTACAAAACATGGAAAGTAAATTTCACGACATTTTTTAATGGCCTTTTTTTAATCCTCGTGTCTACAGCCATTTTTTTTTTTTTTTTTTTTAGGAATGTATTCCAAGTTGTTAAAGTCTTTCGCTTCTGCCATCACTTCGTCGCTCCTATTTTCATTTTCCTCTCGTCTTTTGGCCTCTTTCCTTCTTGAATATTAATATTCTCGATCTTTCTGCGTTTAACATTAGTCCTTTTCCTTTCAGGTAACCCTTCTTCCTGTTCATCGTTTCTCATGTTGGTCCTTTGCTAGCAGTACTATGTTATCTGCTTAGAACCATGTATATTCATCTTATTGCTTGCTCTCTAAACATTTCCTCTCTTTAAAACCATCGTATCCGTCTTGCCTCACCTTGCTTTCGACAATTTTTCTGACATTTCCCAACTACTTTTACTCTTACTTTACGTTTCGTCGTAAATTTCACGCATTCTTGTCCTCGGCGCTCTTATTCCATACTTCCTTTTATGCCATGGCCTTGCTCAACTTGCCTCTGTTTACTTTATCAATAGCCACAATTTTAATTTGTATCTTGCGTCCTATAAAATAAAGATGATTAGAGATTTTTGCCAAGTAAAAATTCAATGATCCAAACTATTGCAATTAGTTTGTGATCCAATAATATCGATCGAGGAATGAAAGGGAAATTAGATTAGAAGAAATTCCATCGAATTATCTGTATGACAAACAATTTTTAATAACATCTGAAATAAATAAAAAATGATCTAAAAAAAAAAACCTAAATCAAAAACGTCAGCGTGACAGATCCAAAACTCGACTACTTTTTATCCGTTTTTATTTAACCTCATAATTCTAGACTTTGCTTCTTAATCATTTCCATTTTCTAATTAATAAAATTAACTACTTTATTTTATTTTTCAGTTATTGATCGTCGATTCGGATACACCGGTCGATCGTTCGATAGGAAAGGATATTAAAATGATATAGTTTGATGAATAATATCTAATCAAATATCTCAGAAAGGTATGGAAAGAAATTATACGAAAAGGGTGATAGGTGGTGCGAGCAGGAAGTGGTAGGGATGGTCATTGTTCCGACGAATTCCTCGTTGTGTGTGCATGTGCGAGCGCGTATTTAGACGAGTTTTCGTATATCGCATAAAAATATGTTTATTACGTATTTTCACTATGCTGACACGTACTTTTGTGCCTCACTACCCACCTGCCACGTGTTATCCTACGATTTTACCTCGTACTTACTGCACCAGGGGGTGAAAACCACCCTCGATGAAAGTTTCTTCGATTTTCGAGGCGAAAAACGATATGAATGCAAGAGATAACAGTTGAAGGAACAAAAGTAGACATTGAAGAAGAAGCTTACGCGACCGAAGAACAGGTAGATGCTGAAAAATGCGATATATATTCGTTATTACGTATTATAAATTGAGAAGAGGACGATATTTAAAGAAAAGACAGATTCATACGTATAAGGTGAGCCAAATAAAGTGTTACAAGCCAGTTTCTAAGGAATTACTGCAGATACGTTTTCTTAATATTATATCGAGATATCTTCACATTGTTTCAAACATTTAACAAAATTCATTTTAATACAACATGTGATTATTCCCTTTATTTTTCGATGCTCTGTGAAAAAGGCATTTGTTTAATTGTTTAACTATGAAAACTAAAGAAACAGAATACTATAAACGAATATTATTCAGTTTGATGTAAGAGTTGTTCGAATAACAAAGAATCGATTAATTTAAATAAATATGAATATTGATATGGATAAAATATAACGTGAATAATGTAATTTACTCTATTTTAATATACATACTATACTTGCTATATTTTGCAATGACAATATAAGACAAATTAATATAGTATATCAATATGGCATAGTATAATTCCCTTTTCGTCCTCGTCACAGTCCTAAAACAATGTATTCCAATCTGAAAGAATTATCACTGCTGTCTTATTTAATTTGTTTAATAAAGCAAATCGATATTTGCAATGGTTTCGAAGAAAATAATTTATTGCGACACTTTATTTACTTCATTCTGTGTGTATAGAATTACTGTTCTATCGGTTTCAAGAGAATGAAATTAGGTAATGTGTGGAGAAGATCGAACAAATGAAATTTATACGTTCATAGTTGCTTACATTTGTATACGGCTAGAATATATTAAGAGATTACGTACGATTCTTAGATAATATAAATGTGAAACTTAAATCTTTGATTAACTGTTGAATAAAAATTATAATTTTACACGAAATGCATATTGGTTGAGTGATAATACCGATTTCTGTTGAAATTACAGCATTGTCCTTCTTTTACGTAAATATTACTTGATATTCTAATAATTTACTTAATTATAGTTATTCTATAAGGATATCTTGTTACCTTTACTTTCCATAACCACTCCTCATTTCCCCAATAGATGGCAGAACGTCATTTGTCCGACAGAAGTTTCGTAGCAAGGGCTTCGATTTTTGTCTTCGGAAAAAGTATGTACTGCCATCTATCCATGAATACTCCAAGTTGCGGTTCCCCCTTTTCCTCATAGATGGCAGTACACAATTTGTCCGACAAACGTTACAGAGCAAGTAGCTGGACTTGTGTCTTTGTGTTTCTGTTTCTCTTTGCATTTGTGTGCCTGCAAATCGATCAAATATTGAATTCCAAAAAATACGTGTTTTAGGAATGAAATTATGAACTTTTGTGATCGTATATTCTTATTTGAAGTTTAAGCTTACTCCTTGTATCAATTCTATTAAGATTCCTCCTAAATTAAGCAAGTGTCAAGACATCATAACCTCCAATGTTTGTTTGACTTAATATGTCAAATCTTATGGAATGTCTGAAGTAAAATTTTAAATAAAAAAATTGATTTTATCGAAGAAGAATAAATTTTGTGAATATAATAAAATCATGAACACGAAAAAGGTTATAACATTTGGAAAGATCAGTAAAGATTTATCTCAGGAACAAGCGAAAAATACAGAATCTGTAAGTTCTGGATTTGGTACGTTTGGTAAAAAATCATTAGAAACTAATATAACAAAAATGAATGAAATCAAACCAGAAGATGAAGAAGAATCCCAAAATTTGAAAGAGGTTATGGGCATAACTGGTTTTGGTAAAAAGGCCAAGTCCTTTGATGTACAAGAAATGTTGGAGCATATTACAAAAACTATTAATACTAACAAAGCAATGTCTGAGAAAACAAAAGCTACAGATAAAGAGACTAAAACACAATTATTAGAGGAAGCTAAAAGTAGCGATGCTGCTGATAATGAAAATGCTAATGATAGCAAGGATGAAGAGGATGATTTTATTGGCCCTCCAATACCTCACGGGCTTGAGAATTCAACATTGTCAGAACAATCTACAAAAGTAAAAGATAAAGACGATGATGATGACGAGAGCGACGAAGATGACAATGAATCTGATACCGAAGATGAATTAAAGTTGAAAGACAAAGTTCCATGTAGTCATGAAGTTACAATGACTCACGGAACAAAAGCAGTAACAGCTATTGCAGCCGATCCTTCTGGAGCAAGATTAGCTTCAGGTTCTATCGATTATGATGTTTGTTTCTGGGATTTTGCTGGTATGGATTCATCTATGAGAAGTTTCAGAACGCTACAACCTTGTGAAAATCATCCGATTAAATGTCTACAATATTCAATGACTGGTGATGTTATATTAGTCGTATCAGGTTCTGCACAAGCGAAAGTTTTGGACAGAGATGGTTTTGAAAAGTGCGAAACCGTGAAAGGCGATCAATATATATCAGACATGGCACGTACAAAAGGTCATACAGCAGGATTAAACAGTGGTTGTTGGCATCCATTTACAAAGGAAGAATACCTTACTTGTTCACAAGATAGTACTTGTAGAATATGGATTTTATATAGGCCACGTGCTCACAAACATTTGATAAAGTGTAGAGCACAAAATGGAGTTAAAACAATACCAACTACATGTGGCTATAGCAGAGAAGGTACTGTAGTTGCCTGTGGTTGTATAGATGGTTCTATACAGATGTGGGATCATAGAAAAAATTTTGTGAATCCATCGCTGATTCAGAGGAATGCACATGCACAGGGTAGTGAGATATCGAGCTTAAGTTTCTCTTATCTCGGACAAATGCTTGCAACCAGAAGTTGCGACGATACGTTGAAGCTTTGGGATTTGAGAGCATTTAAAACACCTGTCTTTGAAGCAAACAATTTATATTCCAGATATGATACAACTGATTGTATGTTTAATCCAGATGATTCAATTCTCATTACAGGAGAATCATTGAATAGGAATCAAAATACCGGTAGAATACTATTTTATGATACAAAGACCTTTGATCTAATTAATGAAATAAACGTAACAAACTCGCATGTTATTAAAACATTGTGGCATCCAAAACTAAATCAAATATTTGTTGGTTGTGGAAATGGAATAGTTAAAGTATATTATGATTCTAAGAAGAGCTTAAGAGGAGCTAAATTGTGCGTTGTAAAAACGCATTTGAAACAAAAACACATTGAAGTAATGTCAACCCAACAGATTATTACACCACATGCACTTCCATTGTTCAGGCAGGACAGGCCTAAATCTGTTCGTAAACAAATGGAAAAAGATCGTTTGGATCCTGTTAAATCAAGAAGACCAGATTTACCGATTACTTCTGGGCAGGGTGGCAGAGTTGCATCTTCTGGTGGAACGCTTAGCTCTTATGTAATTCGAAATTTGGGACTTAGTAAGAGAATAGAAGATGACCAAGATCCTCGAGAGGCTATTTTGAAATATGCAAAAGTAGCAGAAGAGAATCCATACTGGATCGCCCCAGCGTATAAGAAAACTCAACCACAAACAATATTTCAGTCGGATGAGCAAGATGGAGCATCAAGTGCGAAGAAGCAGAAGACTTGAAGACTGTACATTGCTTCTCAAACATGTTTATATTATTGTATATAATATTCGATGTAAACCATCTATGTAAACTATTAATAAGTAGAATACATTATGTCTAAGACCAATCTTTAGCTTAATTAATTGATTTGCTGCACTTAATTGTATGTTTGTATTTATGCAGTATATACTGAAATGTTTCGAAAAGTTTCTACTTCCTTCATATTTAATCTACATAAACTATTTATTATTGAGCAATTATATTTCTTAATAGTAATTTGAATGATATTTATCATCGTAGTGTTTGTATATTTTTTTCGAAACTTTATTTAGTAATCTTACTCCTCAAGATACGATATCATACATGCTTAATACAACGTACATACGATTTAATAATACTTTACAACAATACTTCGTGAAAATTCAAATGAAATTGTTTTCCGTTTTACAACACCATTCTTAATTCTCTTCAATTTTCATTTATTTGAACGTCTTCATTCAACGTTCGATGAAAAATTTAGTCTCATATTGCCAAGTTAGGAACTACCAATTATTTATATTATTAAATATACTTTTTGATCGTATACGAATTACGATCAAATAATCGATTTTTAAAGTGTGAACCCAAAAACCGACAATAAAACAAGCGAATATTTACAATGTTTAATTAATTAACTATTCTTGGTTACTTTATAATCTACAAAAAATAAACAAACTTTACAATTATTACAAGAAAAGAAACATTCACAATTTTGTTCATAAATGCTTCTAATGATCGCAATATAGTCCTACATAGTTTCGACGTAAATTTAGTGTCTGAAAGAACACAATTCAACGATGTCAAATCAATGGAGAAACTTTTAAATTACATGAACTTGCTCGAATATTGTGCCAGGTGTATCGGACCCGTGAATTTAGTGTCCAATCACTGGATTTATTCATGCGCAAGGAATTTTGTCGAAGGAATTTATCATCATGTCAATTTGTATAAACTCAGAAGTAATTTTTTTTAAGCTCTTAAATGTAACACTTACTCGGTATGACGATGGCAGAAACCATATTTGAATTTTCTCCTACACGCTTTTTAATTTTTTCGTCGCAGTATTTTTATAACTATTAATCTTTAATCACTGTTTTTGATATTCTTATAATGTAAGCTTTGAGTCCTTTGTACGATTGAACTAATATTATTAGTGAAGTTTCACAACTCACAAATTGCAAGCCATTAATATTAACAAATTTTCATGCATAGCTGTAACAAATTTAACAATAAAAAGGGATCAAATTCTGCAAACAAATTTTGCAAATTACCATTTGGTTATTGTAGAATTTACTCTACAAATATTTATTTCACTATTGCGGAATATTATTCGATTATTCCACAATAAGTAACATAAACTTGTAGAAATTATAAATAGTTGTAATTTATACCTGTTAATTCGGTATAAACTCAATTTTAACCACCCCCTATTATCCTAACAGAAATAAGGGGATCGATCAGTTTGTAGCGTCGATTATCTAATCGTAACGGGAATTTAGGACTCCCGCTGTCATGCTTCCTTGTCGAATTAACAATAGTTATTTTATTTACTGTCATTCCATTCTTACTCACTTTCTTATTTCCTTTCATCTTATTTTAATCAACAAATTATAGTTATTATTGTTTAATCAACAAATATCTTCAAGTTTCAAGACATCTGAAACCTGTTTTAAATCTAATTTTAAATCTATCATTCATGTAAATCTTTTTTCATTGCAGTTTTCCTATTACAACCAACAATTATATAACAAGAAAAAGAAGAGAGAATATTTCGTATTCGTTTACGCATACGCATTCGTTCATCCAAATGTTTAACTGCCACGCGTGTTTTCAAAGAAATCTCTGTCAGGCCACGCATACAGCAGTACCAAGCGTTCTCTGCTAAGTGCTCCCATCGATATTTTAATAACGCGAATCGCTCAAGTGATGATCTCAAGAATGATCTTTCGTTTCATTTGTTCGCAATGCTAAAACCACTAGCTGTTGTTGAATATGATGAAGGAAAGTGTGGTATAGATTATTCCGACCAAATGGTTTCTTATGCCATCATAATTAGAAAAGGAACCAAATTTTTTTTTTATTTAATATTTCACACTTATAATTTGTCCAATTAGGACATTTGGTGGGATTTTTTAGCTGTTCGATTATCATGTGAGTGGCTACCCCCAGCGGGGTACCATCTTCGTGTTTGTAAGGTTATATCCTGTATGAAGAATCAAGTGGTACAGAAAACTTGGCATTCAATTCTTTCTGGGAATTTCTGTTGTAAATGTTTAGACGATTTACAAAATTGCATCAAGAAAAAATATAAATATTAAAATATTTAGACAATTATTACAAAATTATTAGGATTGTTTGAAAATACAAAAAATCCTTCGAAAAAAATCCGTCTTCGACGGAATCAACAGAACATCGCCGTTCGGAAAAATGATTCCGGAAGAAGCATTAGATGCGCAAATAAAAGATGTCGAATGGGCCGAACAAAGGCACAAAAGAATTTGTGAAAAGAAAGAAAAGAAAGAAAAAAACAACAACTTATTGTCCAAATTGTCCCGACCAACCTCAGCTATGTATAGAATGCTTTAAAGTTTTACATTCTAAATAATTATGTTAAAAAACACAATTTTCGTGAGGTGTAAGTGTTGTTCGTGATAATTTTAGCTGCTGGCTGTAGATGACGCCTGCTGGGGGTACTGTTATTTTTCTTCTAATTTATATGCGTGGAAGAAAAATCGGACTACGGGCGCCGGGACTCGACTCGGTTCCCGAACGTTCGTAACCTAAGGCGCTAACCACTGCGTTATCGTCATCCGGTAGAAGTTAGTGTCGAGTATTTGTTGTCAAGTGCCGCCACATTCGTATTTTTAGTTTATAACAATTCAACTATCAATACAATTAATTATTAATGAACAATTTATTATTATGGAATATCTTTTCATATACCTACGACGATCCTTCGTAAGTAATCAAATAAGCGACACCCGAATATGGATTACGTGGCCTGAACAGAATCTTTGCTGACACACGAATACGGGTGTCGTGACAGTCAACGTGTTAATGAGGTACTTTCAATTGCACTTCTAATTCCATTAGTTTTTGTCCTTAAATCCTCAAAATTCCTAATCTCCTCAATACCAACTATAAAACGGTTGATGAGGAGCAGGTCTGGGTGGTTGTTGAAAACCTTGAGCGCTATAATGACTAGCGAAAGCTTGATGAGGATGTGCGTGAGCATGAGACTGCTGCAAACTCGTTGGTGGACTCGGGAGTCCAACTCTTCCTCCGCTAGAAATCGGAAGATTCCACGTTGGCGAAGAGTTTCCCTGACTCGCTTGCTGTTGTTGTTGCTGTTGAACCGGAGATACCGAGCTAATCGGTAGATCCGCCGAAGCTAATTGTTCGGACGCTGGATTTGAGTTTCCAGAATTTGAACCCATCATGGTGACCAACGAGTTCGGTGTTGATGGAAGTTGATGACCACTGGCCTGTTGGTACGTTGAAGAGGAAGCTTCAGCTACTGAAGACATTTGATGGCTCATGTGAGTGCTGCTGGTTGACGATGTTGCTGGTAACAGCGAGCTGGGATAAGTTACCGATGCTGGAAGACCGTAAGCCGGTGTGGATCCGACAGATGAAGACAGACGAGTTGAATCCGAAGTTAATTGATGAGACATAGTGCTATGGTGAGAAGAATAAAGCTCTGGAACTGGAGAAAGAAAGATTGTATGTGGCTGAAGATTTCGTTGGTTTCTTGATTAGGGAGTGATTATATCTGAAATCTAAATTAAAGTGTGTTCGTGTTTCTGGTTTGAAGAACAAGAACAAGCACAAGATTTCAAAGAAAATATAAATTCTGTATATATTATACATTTACATACCATAAATATGAATTTATAGTATATTCTTGACTTAAATTCTGTTAATTACACTATCCGAATTTTTCTGAACTCGAGTAGTGTTTTTGTAGTAAACTATATCTGCGCGTCATTAGATTCCTAATGAACCCGGCTGTACAGTGTATATTACATAAGTTGCATATCATTAGGTCCCTTATAAAGCACTTACCTCTTTTTTATCCTTTGCAAAATAGATTACTACTATATATTTACTACCACTTTGCAAACCTAATCACGTTACCGTTAAACATTAACAAGTTAAAACCTTTACGAAACGAATAGCGGAAATTGGAACAGTTAAGAGTGTCGCTGTACTTATACACTTCGATCTACATTGCAATTTATTTAGTTTACAAAAATATTTTAATATCAACATCATTTTAATGTTAATTGTACATCAAGGAGCGAAATTGATTTAAACACGACTGATCAGCGTTTTTAAATCATCCCTCCTCCCAAAAAAGAAAACAATAATTAAATAAATCGTCTTACCTTGACTCGACGAGAATGTGCTATCAGGTAAAGTTTGCCCATGAGAATGAGGATGGGGATGACCCGGTGGAACAGCAGTTGCAGCGTGTGGATGAGGCGCAGCAGGCGGATGTAAAACATAAGATGCTGCAGGATATGCGACTGAACTGACGTAACCACCAGAAGTTGAAGATAGCTGCTTCCTCAACCTGGCCCTTCTATTGCTGAACCAAACTTGAATTCTGGCTTCAGTTAATTTTGTTCTCTGAGCTAATTCTTCTCTGGTATAAATGTCTGGATATTGTGTTCGTTCGAACGCCCGCTCTAGTTCGTCTAATTGATGAGCTGTGAAGGTCGTCCTGCTCCTGCGTTGTTTTCTTTTTAGAGGAATTCCTGGCTCGCTCTCACAATCAGACCCGGAACTCGTTTTACCTGGAAAATAAAATGTTTTGTATTGGTTTTGAGGCAATTTTTTATTGCATCATTGAAATTGGCATTTTTTAGTTCCTGACTTGAATTTAGTATCCTTTATTTTCTGTGATTCATTTTTGTTGGGACAATGTCAAATCAATCTTTGATAGTGTAGAGTACCATTGGTGAATTTATTCTGTCAGTGAAGACACGCAGTTTTGGACTTTTAAATGATTCTATTTGTGAAAGTTTTTTAATGTGAATATTACATAAATAATAGTCGTATCGTGACAAAGAAATCCAATTCCAGATTTTTAAATCGCCACGAATGAAATAAAGCGGTTGAGCTGCTCGAGATTGCGGGTTTCAGTATCTAATTTTATAGCTTAGAGATACGTATTACATTTTTTATTGTTACCAACCGATAAATTTCAGTAGTAATTCGTGTGAGAGACTATGAAAATGCAAATGGTAACAAACTACATATACGAAAATTACACACTTTATGAAATTGAGTGTGCAAGTATGAGAATAAAGTAAGGGACGCGTCTAATAATTATTAATTCCGCGTGCACGTGTCACCTGCTCAGCCACGTCTCTGCAGGTGAATGCACGTCCTGGTTTATGGTTTGTTTTGCCGAGCAAGAGTTCAAAAGGAACCGCACTCCATTCCCATTCTGCTGCTTGTTTCACACTCGATTTCACGATCGACTTGTTTGCCGTTATATTACTCTATTTTATTCTTTTTTACTTCACGATTGAAATACTCTTTCATTTTGTTCTTGCTGTAACTTGCAGTGTATACTAACGTGTATATTCTATTTACTTATTTATTTATTCGAGATAAAAGAAAGTAATATTATCTGCATTTCAGAATATTATTAGGTATATATGGTATATATAACATGTGCAATTCACTTATTCATTTAAAAGAACAGAGAATTGTTATCCGTACTTAAAAAAAATTGTAGTAGCTAACTGATGGTATTCTCATGTAAAATAATTCAAAATATGTAAAGTAATACGACAAACATGTATTTGACATTTATATTTTAAAAAATTGTAGGAAATATTATTGGCGATCTCTTCGTACAGAATAATTTACGCATTTAGTTAACACGCATTCGAGCAATACGACAAAAGTGTTAATAGAATGTGTAAAGAAAGATGTTTCGAACCTGGAATTACCATTATCGGAGAATTAAATAGACCGCGAGCACGAGCGAGTACAAGAAATATGATTTACTACAAGGACACCGAGCAACGGCAAGAAAAGTGACGAGTGATGACTGATGACTGATGACAGTAGAAAAACACGTTCCGAGATCCTTTCCCTTCGATCGTCGAACGGAGACTGATAACAAGGATACGAGTACTAACCTCGACTAAACCAAATGATTCAACCTTCCTACGACTTAATGCGTTTCATTTGATGTTAATAAATTTTCACACTTTTCATGTCAATTATTTATTCATTAATACAGTGAGATTATTATTTAACTTTTCATCGATCATTCAGATTCATTTATTTGTTCATTAATGTATATTAATTTAGGAAAAACACAGTGATTAAATGCATCGTTTTGTATTACTATTGTTCAGTGTCCATTTCATTACTTGACATTTGCTTTCACTTTAATACGACTAATTTTTTACGAAATAAATTGTTCCGCAACAGATTGCTACAAAATGAATCTTTCTACCGCTGGTTGCGTCTTTCCAACAGAATTATTGTACCTCTTCACTCTACGAATCAATCAGCTCTGAACATTTCCATTTTTTCAACATTTACCGCAAATGCTACGAAACAGGTCGTCTAACGAAAATTTACACTGACAATTTCGTCCGGGAAGTTTTAGCAATAAGAAGTGTCTCCGCAAAGCGATTAGTTCTTATTATTGATAAAACTTTTGTAGCGGCACATGAGTAAAGAACGATTCAAATCATGTTGTTATTTTGCCTCGGAGTATCAAGATCGTTAGGATACATGTAATGTAATGATGAATAAACTAATAATAATAATAAAACTATAATAAAAATAATAATAAAACAACCCGCCGACCAGTATAAATAAACAGACACGATCGCGAGCGAAACAGTATGTACCGAGTATCCACGAATTAGCGATCAACATCTTCGAGATTGTCCCAGCTATTGTCCGGTATCTAGTTATCGAGTTATCTGCGAGCAAACATACACTATCGTCGCGAATACATTGAACGAACGTCTTTTGACAGTATTTATATTTATATTTATTTAATTTCATACACGTATGATTTAATATAAAAAGCCACTTACCATTTCCTGTTGTTATTTTCTGAAATAATATTTATTCAGCTCTGATCCAAACAGTTACCACTGGCTTTTAAAAGATTGAAATATAAAACTTTTTGTACTACTTTTTATTGTTTTTTTACCATTCCCTTTGCGATAATATCCATTTTTCTCTCTTTTCTTTTGTCGTTCGTTAAGTCCCCAGCATTCTTGTGGTTGGTTAAAGAAACGAAGGTCCTCGGGTGCTCGGTCGGTTGGTCGCATTTTTAGATTATCGTAGATTCATCATCGCGGAGCCGCGAAAGCAGAGACGGATGACACGCTTGTAAAAAGGAACGAGGTTGTTTCTTCCGGCGAACGGGCCGGCGAAACGTCTTGAAATCGTCGACTGGCTTTACACAGGCCGCGACTAATCGGCCGACGACGCCTGACGCCGAGACGCCCCGCGTTCATGCCCATTCGACACGGACTCTATTCCCGGACGGACCGCTTCTTCCCCTTTCCTTTCCTGCGTCGCGTCGTCTCGTTTCTCCTGTTCCGCGGGCTTCCGTGTCACTCTACATTCTGTTCACCTCTCTTCTCTTTCTTCTTTTCATTTTTTAGTTTTTAGTTTTATCGATCATATTTTTGAAAGATGAAAAAATTCGGCTCTAAGCAGATTTTGGGGACTTTTTGAACTTTCGAGTAGTCCATGCCACTCCGCCCTCTGTTCGCCTCTTTTCTTATGGGATTTTATGGGATTATTGGATTCTAGATTAGAAATTAGATTAGAACTAGATTAGAATTTTGTACACTTTCTGACTTTGATATTAGCTGATGATTTTTTATTTTTATTAATCCTATGGTTAAACGTAGAAAATTGTGAAAAGAAAGAAGAGAATACTTTTTATTTTGAGAACAGCGATGGAAGATGTTTTCAGAATCATGTTCTGAGAAAAATGTTTCTTACTAAAGATAATCGTACAAGTACTGTAAGTAAGATATAAGAAAATAAAGGGAGTAAGTAATACAAAGAAGCAAAACAATCTTCGAACAGAAAATTCTTATAGTTCTTCTCGTCGAGTTCTTTGAAAAAGACGCTCATTGAGCAAGCAGTTTCATTTAAAAGTAGAAATCGGACGTTGCAAATTTGCAAAATCACGACAGAAATTACATATTTCATGGAACTAAGCGGCCACGAGCGGCTAGTAATTACCAAACTTTCGAACCCTGCATTAACCCCAAGGGGGTTGAGAGATTGCTAGTTTGCTGTTCGGCACGATCTTGCTGCGTGGACCAAAAGACGTCGACCAGTACACGACACGTGTTATTTTTTCTCTTTTACGAAATACATAGTGCAACTTTATGAAAGAAAAGAACAACACAAACTCGGAAAAAAATTCTATTTTAATCGAACTTAATACCAAATTTTAGCGTATGAAAGTTTGGAATTTATTGAAACCTAAAAAGATTGCATTTATATACGTAAATATTAGGAAATTTAAATTATATATGAGAAGAGAAAATTCGTCTACATGGAAATATAAAAATATTTATTGAAGAAAAGGAATGTTTGGAAAAAGTATACAAATCGGATTGATGGATGATATTAACATTAGAACTATCGGCTTTTGAAACGTAACTATCTCTACCAAAGCCAGACAAAATGACTAGCTTTAAAAAATACGTAATAGTAGAATATTTTTATATTTATTGATCTATTATTATCTTAAAAAAGGAACATCATGTTCTGAAATCATAAAAACTATATAATAACAACTTTAACAATAACAATAAGTACGATAACGAAGAATATTCAGTACTAAAACCTTTGGTAACAAGAATGTTAAAATAAATTTTCATTAGCAAATATAAGTATAATAGAATAAGAAGCGTAATAAGCGTAATAGAATAAATAAAATATAAATATAACTTACATTAGGTACAAAATTTATCATTCATCACATTTCTTACCAAATTTTGTTTCATTATAAAATTCCATTCCATTTACAACATCGAATTTTATAATGAAACAAAATTTGGTAAGAAATGTGATGAATGATAAATTTTGTACCTAATTTAGGCCCTTCGCTTTTTCCTAAATAAGGAAATCCATTTACAACATCGAATTTTATAATGAAACAAAATTTGGTAAGAAATGTGATGAATGATAAATTTTGTACCTAATTTAGGCCCTTCGCTTTTTCCTAAATAAGGAAATCCATTTACAACATCGAATTTTATAATGAAACAAAATTTGGTAAGAAATGTGATGAATGATAAATTTTGTACCTAATTTAGGCCCTTCGCTTTTTCCTAAATAAGGAAATCCATTTACAACATCGAATTTTATAATGAAACAAAATTTGGTAAGAAATGTGATGAATGATAAATTTTGTACCTAATTTAGGCCCTTCGCTTTTTCCTAAATAAGGAAATCCATTTACAACATCGAATTTTATAATGAAACAAAATTTGGTAAGAAATGTGATGAATGATAAATTTTGTACCTAATTTAGGCCCTTCGCTTTTTCCTAAATAAGGAAATCCATTTCCAACATACTTTGTTTGAACATCAGATACCAGCCAAAATTTAGTTCCGAATTTGTCGGGTTTATTCGGTAAATATTGCGTAAATCTACATTTGGCTTTGGTTGGGAAAAGTAGCTCGTCTATTGTAATGTTTGCACCAGGTTTATAGCAATTCTGGCTATTTTCAATAAACTTATCCCACGCGGTTGATATTAGTGCAAATTTGTCATTTTTCA